CCAAGATTATTGCCATCATGTTCTACTTTGTTTTCCCGAAGCATGACTGAAGTACCTCTGACAAGTATTTATTGCATTCCACGTGGTATTTAATATATGATGTAAGCACTGCACGTATACATATCCATATGTTTTCCCCACCTAATGCAAGAGGAGAAATAAAAGGAAAATATTAAGTTTATCCAAGCATGCTTCCATCATTATTATGCAGAATATGTTAAATTTCTACTTACAGAAGGAGATGAAAGAACCACCCCATGATGCCAACCAAAACCCTTTCCATTTGTCCCTCAAACTTCCACCTCTAAAAAGACTTCTTTGTGTTAAATTTATGAATGAGGTTAGGGCTTACAAAAGTGAAGGATTAATAACATTTGCTTGAGCCAAACATAGTATGATAGGCACTGTGCACGCTCCCCTCACAGCTCCGCCAATCCATCTCAAGTCTGACCTGCAGTACCCCTGCTGCTTTTCCAATCCCAGGCCTCTCACAAGTAGAGACTGCCAGTGTAGCTGAACGGTGCCAAACTGTCTGGTGGTTTTGTGATATAGCCAAATGGGGACTACGATGAGATGAAACTCATTTCCACCCATGAGCCGAGCAAAGATGTGAACTTAGGTGAAAGGATGGAGTACCAGGCCATATAATACTGAGCAGTCCTTACCAGACACATACCTAGAGACAGGGGAAATCAGGGAAAAATGGGGGGGGGATAAAAACAAAACAAAAAAAACCAGACAACAAAGTCTGCATAGAGACTTATTGGACATAGAAAGGTATGTTGAGTGAATGTCAGAGATCCACAAAATAGCCCAAGAAGTATTTATAGTTTACTTTCTGACTTGCAAAAGAGAAGGACTGTCAGAATGGAATGCTAGACAACGCAAAGAATCTTTGACCTAGATTTTTAAGGGAATTATAGAAGGTAAGGCATACTTATTAAAACAAGTGGAGCCTAAATGGTTTTAACTTTACCACGTTAGCTCCTGCAGTGCCAATTTAAACTATCACTTTCTATTAAAAAAAAAAGTTAAATTGGGTGGTATTCAGTTCTGATTTAGAAACTCAATAGAAACCTAATGTTTAAGTCACAGTTGTAGCAGCTGAAACAGTATTTAAAGCTGTAGCCATCCTGACCCAAATAAAAAAGGAAAAAGGAAACCCTTTCCTTTATTACTGTAGACGTGGCTTTAGGGATTGCATCAGCTGCTAGGGCTACAATTTGAGATTCTTTTTTTTAATTAAAGATATACATTAGCATTACAAGGGAAAGGAAATAGAATTCTGTTGCGTGTAACAAGTTTCATCTATGCACAGAAGCACTGATCTTGAAAGAAAGCCAGATAAAGTTAAAAGAACAACCTATTAAAACAAGTTCTCGACTCATTTTTAAGTATCCCAGTTGCCTACATTACAGAGAAAAACCAGAACTTCTCTAAGCAATGTCTAAAAATTTTCATTTGTAAAGCAAAATTTGCATGCCCCAGTTACATGCATTTAATTTTCAAACATATTCCAAACTCAGGTGCCACTACTCTCACTACATCACGCTGAGGCTTCAAATCCACAGTTTTCCCTTTTTTATCTAAGCATGCTTTTTACCATAAGCATTTTACTTAGAAATTTTGCAAGTTTTTCTTTTTTAATAGTAAATTGCACTATCTACATTCTGTTATATTTGCTCAGGAAACAAACAAATATGAGACTCATAGGGCTTTCCAAAGTGATGGGGGATGAGTGTGACAAAATGCTGCAAACACTTTACCTGTCCAGGGGACATCTGGTGATCATTCTCTACACAGACCCTGCACATTATAAAAATGATTAAAGAAAAGTAAGCCTTTTTTAAGAAGTGTAACTTTTCAGAGACCTATAGAGAATAGTAAAAAACAATCTTCTAAAATATAGTTCAGTAACATTCTATTGCTTTTACCCATAGAATGGAAGTATCCTCTCCATTTTTTATCCTCTCCATTTTCCCAAAACTTCCAACGGAAGGTTTGCCGAAATCAATGCTAACAAAGCCGGAGAACATGTTTTACAATTCTTCTAGATTATAGGCTGGGCTGGTTTTCCAAAATAATTTTCAAACATATTGACTAAAATTGAAACATGTCTGAACCTCTAATGTTGTACTAAATGAAAAATATGTATGTTTCAGTGCCTGGGATAAAATCTAAACAAGATGTAAACGTAAACCCCATCCACCCTCCACAAAAAAAAATTCAATGTTTTGTTGAAAAAAATGTGAATTCCACTGCTTTTCAGAACTCTATTTAATAGAGGTGAAGAATGCATAAGGCCAAATCTATAGATCTATCAGCACAATTATATCCATCAAAAACATGAAGAGGTATTCCTGACCTGCAGTTTATCCTGCCAAAGCCTCTAGCATTGCAGTTATATCATCAAACCTGCTTTTACTGGCGTAACTATTTTGACGGAGTACATTCAACGTGTATGTGGTAAGTTACGCTGGAAAAGACAGTTTATAGAGTATGAACTACATCCACATTAACAGTATTTTGCCAGAAGAGCATATTAGCCAAGCAATCCTACTACGGTCCTGCCTAACTTCAAGCTTTTCTTTTATTTCATCATCAGTGTAAAAACCTGCTGGCAAGCTTTGCAATCTGCTCCTATAATTGACAATGCAGGGGCAGGTTGTGCCACCCACAGAGGCTCTCACTCACATCAGCATAGCTTTCCACCAGCATAATGCTCTGTCTCTACACGATGAAAGCCAAGATCAGAACCTTCTTCAGCATATCTGCACACCAGTAACTGTCTACCTATAGGTCTCATTATCAGGGATGCTCAGTTCCCTCATTGGTGTGAGAAGCATTTGGAATCCTTATCAAAACATATATACATACACACACATAAAATCAGATCATATATTCAAGTTGCTAATGCAGATATTATTTTCATGTCTGTCATTCAAGCTTGGATGTTCTAGGCCTTGTTTTTCCTTTCTGTGGAAGAAAGGAGTGCAACCATTACAAATGTTTCAAAAAGCATAGTGTTTTGGACATGAATACCAAAACAACATGAAATGGGTCTGTACAGGCTTCTGTTATTTCGGTTTCAACCAATAACACATATCTTCACAAACTTCACTTCAGCATTGCTGCAAACAGTGGCAAACATTATGGTACTTAAGGGCATCTGGTTTATTTCACTATGTCAGTTAATGGTGCTTATCAGCAACAGAGGGCTGTATGCTAATATTCCCAAGTGTACTTCATATTGCCAGTCAAAGACAGTGTGGGTATTTTTTATTCTTCGAATATACAACTTTCCACAGTTTTGCTAAAAAACACTTCTGAATCAACTCACGCGTGACCTCTATCAGCTCTAGAGTAGAACAAGAGTAACCTCGACCCAAAAAAGAGTGGAATTAACTCTATATTCACATCTTTTAATTACAACACTATCTTTCTTCCCATCTGTTTACTGAAGTACTGAAACCCAAAGTCTTAAGATAAAAACAAATTCCCCATAAATGCCACTCATTTGAGTCAGGAGATCTTGCTGGTTAATTATTTCTACACAGTTTACATCTGTAGTTATCCAACAAAACCAAAACAAATGAGAAAAGGATTGGAGCCCAGCAGTGCAGTGGGATGGAAAAGTGAAGCACTGGCCTAACAGATGTGGTCTGAGGTGCTTTGGCTGCATATAACATGTGAAGAAAGATCATTTCATAGGGAAGCAAAACCTCCTGCATTTCTACAGTACCTGCTGTGTTGATAGGGAAGAAATGGAGCCTGTCAGTATGTGTGATGTGCCACTGATAATTCTAGCATCACTTTAGCCTGTCATCAATGAACTAACGAGCACATTATTTACAGAAAATCATATTCACTACCTACTAACCCAAAACACACTGCTTCAAAGACTTCACTCACCAGCTTGATTCTTCTGTAACACAGTGAGTACATTCACACTGCAATCTCTCAATTGCTTTTCCTGCCTAAGTAGATCGTAAAAATACACGGTCAAGGAAAGTTTTTTTTCATGTATTAGTTGAGTGCCAGACAAAATCTGCTATTATACTTGTTTATAGCCTCCAAGAAATTTTTTTCTGACTTTCAAAACTCTGTACCTCGAAAGTCCGTGTAGAATGTCACAATTTCCTTTTCCTTTCAGCATTCATCCACACTTACGCATAAATTCAGAAAGAAACTTAAGCCCCATTACCTTTCAAGGAAACAGTTTCCTAACTTAGAGCTACAGACACCTTAAAAATGAATTTGTATTAAGAAAAAATAAACATCTTTGACATGTAAGGGCATGCCTTTAGATAGCTAAATATGGAGGGAGGTGTCCAACTTTTAGCCTTTAGGTTTGACCTCATTAACTTTCAAATTCCCAAGGGTAAATATTTTTATCTATATTTCTGGTCTACCACTGAACACAGTGCCATTTAATAATGAGATTTGTGCCTGCAGCGAATGTTGAACTCAATTCTCTTTGAAACAGTTGGGTCAGGATTCAAACTAGAAGAAATCTGTAATTTTAAACTCCCAGTCCTTTCCCCAGCAGCTGAAGATCTTTCATATCCTGCTTGCCAAAAAGACCAACCACCTTCAGAACTGAAACCTGGTATTAAATACAACAGAATATTTTAGTAGTTAATTTATAGGAGTCAACAGAGGTAGGATTGTGATCCAGAACATGGCTCTATAATGCCATTACAACACACATTGGAGCATCATCTTCTATTTATATCAAGGAGATGGAAAGATACTATGAGGACAATACCTGAATTTGAATTAGAGACTGACTTCTGTGATGTCTTAACCATTTAGTCTCTTAACCACTTAAAATCACAGTCCCTGGGCAGCAATGCACTGTTGAGCCCCCGTTTTGCAAAAAAGCATATACACGAGAAAGAAGGAAGTGTTATGACAGTCTGTACCAATATTCACAAGTGTATTTTACAGTTCTGGAACAGAGTAATTTAATCCTACAGTTAAAATATATTAAACAATACCTGGCAGGAGCCGTTGGGTAAATTACTTTTATATGTTGGAAAGCCATGTCTTGATTCAAAACTTGTTTTATCCATGCTCTTGCACCTTGGCCAGTATCACCTGTATCACATGGAAGAGTACAACAAGAATTATTCTGTGCATTTAGAAAGAAAACTATATAGTATCAAACATATTTATACCAGATTGACCTGATTTCTAAACCACAAAGTTAATCCTCAAAAATGCTAAAAGAATTTTCTAGAATAACCTCAATCCCCTTTCCAATGAAGATGGACTCAAAACTTCCTAGAAACAGGCTACTTAAGAGGTCCCACAGCATAAGTTTAATAAACACATTACTACATCCAATGGCTTAAGTACCTCCTAATCAGGGACAAGGACTTACCTCTTACTTGCAACTTACCTTATTTGCTGATAACAGTGATAAACAAAAAATACTGATGAACATCTTAGAAAGTGAGATAAAATACCTGCTGCTCCCCTTAGAAAAGATAATTACTTTTACTACAGAATTTTATATTAACCCACTTCAAAACTTAGTCAAGAACAATAAAAAGGATCTTCACATTTAATTATACTAATATTACACATAGGCTTTAAGGGAAGTATCAGTCAAACACTCCCAACGTTTTGTAAAAGTGCTCAAGAGATGAGTTTGGGTTAAAACATCTGGCAGGCTCCTCAAAAACCTTAATCCCACAGTTCTGTTTGAAAGCTAGTTGAGATCTGACTCTCAACGTGCTTTTTCCTAGTCTTATCAACTCAGCCTATAGCCAAAACCCCTGCAGACTGAAGTGCTATGAACAGATATACAGGATTAATTCTTATGCAGACAGCACATGTTCCTTTCAAACAAATATACATACATACACCAGACAGTTTCTAGACCTTGTCTTTCTGTCACTGATATCTTCAACTATAACTTCACTGCCACCTTGCTGAACAGCATGCACACACAAGCCTCCAGTAAGAGTTAAACAATGCGTCAAGCTTGACGAAACTGGTCCATCAAGGAACACGGTTTATAGTAGGTAGTAGCACAACATGTAGTAATACTCAACTTAAAAATTTGGCAGGGATCCAGTAAAGTGCAATTTCACTACTGCCACTCATGCCGTAGGACTTTAGCCTTGCTTGAAGTCGAGGCTCCAACATATTATCAACTCAAACTGCTAAACTGAGTTAATAGTATTCTCTATTACTTTATCTCAAATTGGTCAGTTTGACTTTAAACTCACTCTATTCTTCTCAATAAAATGGCCAAAGCACAAGAAAAAATACCACTGCCCTAAGCCAGACTTACTGCCATGTTACATGTGTTCATCTGAACAATGTCACATGAACATACTGATTTATTGTTACAATGACTGTAGCTCCCCAATGGAGAAGATTTGCTCTTGCTTTAGCACTCAAACAAAATTAATTCATCTTTATTTACACATACAATTATGCATCTTCAGAATTAAAATGGAAGGCAAAAGGATCCAAACCCAGCATTTTTTTTTTCCTGTTTAGCACAAGTCACACAACCATGAAGTTCTCTCTGTTTGACCTAAATACTCCAAGTGACAAATAAGCAATAGGGTCACAAAACTGACACAAATCTTATTCTGTGCTACGTTAAACAGTAAAATCAAAGCTACATCTTTCAGTGCATGCTTCAGAACACATTCCCACAAGCACTTTGCTTATGTTAGCAGCATGGTCTGAAGTCCAAACACATCGATTCTTAGTAGACACTCTTGACATGCAAGGGTTTCCTCATGGTTGCTGTCACCTTACTTATGAACAACATACCTTAAGAAGGCTTGAATAAAATTTTTCTATACACTTCTATTTTTTCAATTAGAAAGCAGAAGTCTAGGCTTTGCAAATACTTGCACAGGACCAACACTCAGGTAGGTCAACCTAAGCAACTACCTGATTGCTTACAGAATTGGGACTTACTTAGGCCTTTATGAAGTCCTGAACGGTGCAGAATGCATCTTTGATTATTTATTCACATTTCTTAAGCTTTGCCAAGATCAGCAGAAATTAATTTACAGTTAATGAAGCTAGTTTGTCCATGAAAAGTTCATAGAAAACTCATTAAGTAAGAAAATTTAGCTATGACCTTCTGTGTGTCAAGAGTTCCCATGGCCCAAATACTCTATCGCATGCACTGTGAGCACTTGCATGCAGAGCTAATGCATTTTGATTCGGTAAGAACAGAATTCAGAGGAGACAGAGAACGAGAAGAGACCGTGACACCAAAAAAAATGCCAACGACCTTCTGAAAGGTTTGTCTTTCAGGATTTTCTTAGATTTTAGCATTATATGTTCTTCTGAACACTACTAAAAAGAAGCAAATGATGCACAATTATGCTTTGAGTCTATTTCCAAACTTGAAATGGACTAATGGCACCAATATTATCTTTTTTCCCCCTCCAAGTAAAATATGAATTATTTTCCTTTCAAATATAGCTTGAACTTCCTAATTTTCTTTCTGTGCAAAGTTTAAACTTAACATGTAACATGCAAAGTTGTAAACCTAAGTCTAAAAAATTATTATTCATGTTATGTCTGTTTGCCTTCGCAGCTGAAGTACCAAACGGATCCTCTACCTAAATTTGATGTACAGTACTGGGAATTTTCTAATGTTTTTCTGTACCATTTTGCATTTACATTCTCCACTTGTTATAATTTGTCTGGAGCAAGCATTATGAACAAAAATGGATTCATGCCATTTGACTGCCGCTTTCCATCACAAGCGCTGTTCAGAAGGCACCCATTCAGGTTTACAGGCCAGCCCACAGCAACGGCACTGCGGCTACTTCTGTTTTAAATTCTATTCTGCGGAACTCCTAAACAAAACCAAATAAAAGCACTCTTGTACTTCCCCATTGCAAACACTATGAATAAAATCATATCAAAAATGAAAAATTGTAGAGTACTTCAACCACATGTGGAATCAACCTCTAACCATAATCTTCCCTTACTCCTCCAACATGAGAGGAAATTATTTCCTCAAGCATTAAAGCATTAGCATTAACAAGAGAGCTGAACGCATCTTATGAACTCTTCCACTTTCATTCTTTAATGCACAGGATTTGAGAAAAGCAAAATTAAACTAGACTATAAAAATGAAACGAATTTAATAAGCATGTACATCTTTGTTAAACTAAATAGAAGCATCAGCTAAAAGCAAAACTAAGAAAAAGACACTGAAAGAGTTGAGCACGTTGCCATATGCATGTGGACAGCTCACTCAAATTGGTTCCCAGGGCTTTGATCTAATAGAGACCTGTGATCACTGTTTTTTTTGGGTTGGTTTTTGTTTGTTTGTTTGTTTAAGTCGTGTGGACTTTGTTGTTGTTATTTAGCAGGTCAGAAATAACCTTTAAGAAAAAACCCCAACAAAACACACACTCCCCTCCCGCCCTCAGACTGGTCACCGATGCAGGTAACTACCTTCTGCCGATGGTGGCCATGAAGCCAGTCTGTACACAGCCACAACCCTTCTGAACAGAGAGAAGTCAGTCTATTAACACTGGCTTTTAAAAGGTGACAGCAATGCTCTCAGTCTGATCCTAAGAACGCCAAGAGCCATTTTAATTATGAAAATCATCCTTTGCATGTGGCTACCCTTACGAGTGGACAAATTAAGAGAATATCTTCTGGAACGCGTTGGTTCTCATGGTGAGGAAAGCCAGGCGGGTGTGTAACGGCACCGTCCCTAAAACGCACCCCGCGGGCCCACCTCAGTCCCGGGAAAGCCCACAGGGCAGACCCACTCCAGGCACTCGCACACCGCTTTGCCCACGCAGGCTCCTCCCTGCCGGCCAGCGCCTCGCTGTCCCCAGGGGAGGCCAGGGACGCAGGGACAGGGACACCTCACACCCCTTCTCCTCGCTTCCCAGCCCCGCCGAGCCTGGCGGCAGCCCGGCCCGCCGGGCCCGT